GATCCGAGCATGTGCAACAAGGAAAAAGATTGCGTTGAATTAAAAATCAGGCTTCCCTTCGATACAGGATATCTTAAGAACCGGAAGTCGTATCGATGCGAATCAAAAGAAGAATCGAAGGCCAAAGTTACTGCTTTCTAACGATTAACTTAGATTGCATAGAATAGATTTTCAAGAATTATGCAGTTTAAAATTTGGATAATTTTAATTAAATATTATGCAAATATGATAATAGAAAAAATAGAATTCGTATGTTTCAGAATTGAGCTTACCTGAGTGGACTGTATTCCGAGCTCCAAACGATGAGATGTTGCACGTCTCTCCAGATTAAATTTTTGCTTCAAGAATAATAATAAATTATTTTCATTATTCACTGTATAGCGAAGATATATTTGCTTCAATGGAAGGTTTCATGGCCGTGTTCCGGGAACGAGTTATAACAACGTGCACAAGGAAAATAGCTTAAGGCATTCTTTTTAATAGGTTAAAACAACTATAGAGGGATATTGTTGTTTAGATTAAGAATACCGTAGATTTTACCGCAAAAAAAAAAAACACAAAATTTGTTCAAAATTTTCTTAATAGAGACAACAATAAATTTTTAATTGATACTCCATGAATTTCCCTTTAAAAAATTTTCAAATTTCAAATATTTACGACAAGGAGACACGATCGATCCTCGAATCTCCTTGAATTTTAACGACATGCAATTATAATTCGATCTCATAAATTAGAATGAAGTTTAAAACAAAAAAGGGATTCCATTGGTTTCGAAAAAGAAAAAAAAAAAAAAAAAACAAAAAGCTCGTACTTCACTTGCAAAGCTAAGGCCAGAATACCAGCAGCTAATGGAGCGGATGCGGAAGTACCAGTGTGTCCAGTGGTGCACGTATTTTTTAAGTCTGTCGTCACCTAAAAACTTTGTTAAATTAAAATCAAAAGACTTTGTTAAATTATTCCACTTCCCATAAAAATAGATTTTATCGGAATCTATTTATTTTCTAATTCAAATTTTCAAACTATCCCTATTAATCCCTATTAATAAAAAATGTGACACAATGCTCACTATCATTTGATCGTGGTAAGCTCCGCTGCTGTACGTCGTGGCCATTGTCGCGGGACAGCTTTCACCGTACCATGGAAATCTTCCAGTCTGACTAGCAGAGCCTACTGCGATTGTATAAATACTTCCCACGTATCCATCGCATCCGCAATCGTCCGATTTCAAACCCCCATTACCAGAAGCCCATACGTAAATACTTCCCTTGCCATCCCTGCCCTGGATAACATAATAATCGATGATTAATTAACAAGATCGATCGAACTTTAATCCGAGGGAAATAAAATTTTTAAGGATGAATAAAAAACGAATATTACTAACACGAGAATCATCAATTTTTCGCGACCATATCTTACATTCCAACTACCATCGCGATATCCTTTATCACACGCCATTTTCTCGTATATGAAATTAATTAAAAATTGCGGGAGAATATCTTCGAACGGGGGAAAGGCCGAGATTCGTGTATCTTCGTTATTCTAATAAATTTACTTTTAGAGGAAAGAGAGAGAGAGAAAAAAAGGAAGAAATTCGTGGGCGGAAATATTATATCAACTAACGAGGTTAACGGAACTCGGTTGGTTTCAAAGTAATTAACGTTTCAAGTAATTAGAAACTCTTGACCCATGTCGAAAGCGACTCAAAGCGAGATCATCGCCGCTCGTTAACTCGCGTTCATCCGAATTAAACGAAACGTTTCAACGCGTTTTTAAAGCGTTTCCATCTTTCGAATCCCTTGTACTCGCCATCTCGATACCACGTTGGAGCGCCTCCCTCGCCAGTCTTCCAGGTGCCTCCAAACTTTTCCCATCGTCGGCAGGCCCCCACGAGGCCGTGTAAACGTCCACCAATTCTGGTTTGTATCCGAGGGCCTCTCCCTCCACGCGATCGTTGACCAAACCGTCGAGAAGCTTGATACCACCGATCGAGGACTCGAAAGCAACGCCCACGCCGCACTTGTGATTGTTCGCCTCCATCGCTATTTCCCCACCGCATCTCGTCCCGTGACCGTTCATTCCTGGAAACGGTTCAATCGCTCGCGATACGTGAGAAAATAATATTGTTCGATCGGGGAAACATGGAGCGGAGAGGATTCGTGGGAAGGATTCGTGATTTTTGTTGAACGTTCGAAGAAACTCTTCCAAAGTTTATCATTGACGTATCGATGCAAGTTTGTAATAATACGTGAGAAAGTAACATGGATTGAATCGGGAAAATTGAAGATTCGTGGGAGGAATCATCGAGATTTCGTGGATTCGTTGGAAAAAAAGGAAAGCTTATGTTGGAAAATGAAGATGGTTATTTTTACAATTTTGGACAAAGTGATCGATAAGAGTGATAAAATAGTCGTACAAGTGAATTTAAAATATGATCAAGGAAATTGAATCAAGAGGATTGAACGAAGTGGAAGGAAAAGAAACGGAAGATGATTGTTTTGCGCGAAGGTGATGTCAAGAGTATCTTGTGAGTAAAATCTGGGAAAGTTTTTAATTTTGATTGAGACGATAACGAGAATAGTCTGATATGTCAATAATATCCCGATATCCTGTGCAATCATGGAGTTTTAGGAGAACGTTATGGAACGAGTCAAGTTTTAAACTAATTTTCCACATCTTCGAAGTAATAATGTAACTATGCACAGCTTGTCTGTCAATAGTTTTGAAGTTCGCTTATCAGTGAAACAATTTCTGTATTATACGAAGAACGATATCTTGGAAATACTTCAACGCGAAACGAAGTAAATCTGGGTAAACTATCTTGAACGAATTAATTTTCGATCTATGTGCTAGATGATTAAAAAAGTATATAAGTTTTATTTTCTTTTTATTTTCTTAAATTCGTCGTTTTAATCCAAGAATATTACTCGAGGATAATATATTTGTCGATAGAATAATTGGTAAATCGAAATTTATTTTTAAACTCTTACCTGACAATTCGTATCGTGGAAAAGGATCGTCGTCACCCTCGTTCACATCATAACTGATATCAGGATCCTGGATTAATAGAAACAAGAAGATTATAAATTCACGAGAAAATTAAATATTAAATCGAGAAAAAGAAATGGGAAAATTAGAAAAGAAGAAAAGTGAAAGATTTTGAAAAAATTCAAGGATGCGATCTTGAATCATGATTCCTGTCATCTGTGGGATGCAAAACGTACCTCGAAGTAAAATTTCATGTTACTCACGTAGTTATTTCGCAAATCGTCGTGGGTATATTCCAACCCATCGTCCAGAACAGCTATTCTCACGCCTCGACCAGTTATCCCCAGTCGATAGAGGGGTAGAACGTTGAGATCCAGCTTGGGGAGAGCTTTGTTCGATCTGGTATCTCTCTGCAACGGTTGATAAAGAAGCTTTATCTTTTTATCACGTAAGATAACTCATCCAT